TCCTGCTGGGTAGTATCAAACAGCCACATTGAACAACTGGCATTTGGGTTAACAAGTATGGAATAAAAGTCCTAATTATTTTCTTGAGTGTTCCTTTTACATCAGCAATGTTCATAACCTCAGGCAGCCCCAAAAGCTCTGAGGCACAGCATGGCTAGCTCTGCTGGTCCCACACAGCAGTGTTTGGGATTGCAGGTCAGAGGACACAAAGTGGCTGAACCTTCTTTGTACTGTTTGTATTGGAGCAACATCTAGAAACCAGAGCTCAGTTGTACTCGCATGGGAAAAAACAGCTTCTGCAGAAAATTGTCCCTTGGCCTTAGAATTCAAGCAGCTTTGCAGCTTTGGTCTTTGCCTTTTTGTTCTGGACTATACCTAGTGTATAAATAAATCAGACTGTGCAGTTTAGCTTTTGGTCAGCTTTGAGGTCCCTTGGTGTATTACTGGTCAGTCAGGAAGTTTCTGTGATGATTACAGACACTAGAGCTGGTCTTGCCTTTCTTAATTCCATAGCACCAAACTATGGAATTTATCAGACATCAAATATCACCAAATTGTGTTTGGTGGTTTGATCAATGCAGGTATTTATTTTTTTAGACATCAAATATCACCAAATTGTGTTTGCTGGTTTGATCAATTCAGGTTTTGTTTTTTTCTAACCAGTGGTAACTGTTAAGTTCTTTGGTTTGTCTGCTCTTTTGAGAGCATCTGTTTTCCTCCTTTGTCTTATGGAATCATTGGTGGTTGGGTGTTTCCTCTAACACCATTTGTGGGACTGGAGGTGTGCTTTGAAAAGGCTCCTGTCTGTGTTTCTGTGGTCTGTGATGCATGAACAGATCATGTTCCTGAGTGTGAGGCACAACTAGGCACAGTAACTGTGCTGCCACTGCTTTGAGAGAGATGATTTAGGTTCGGCAGAGCACTGAATTTAGAAAGATTATGACTGTGTCTCATAGAATGGGGATTTTATAGTTGCTGTAACTGCACAAGTCTTTTGACAAATGTAAAATGGAAGAAAGCATCATTAATTATAAACTCTTAACTACTTCAGAATTGTATGAAATAACTTTTGTCTCACAGTGGAAGTCTGAGTGTTTTTATATGGCTTTATGACTGTAAATTCTTTGGCCTTGAAAACAGAACAAAAAGACCTGGGGATTATCATGGAGAGTTCATATAAAAGAAATTTGTGGATCATCTCAATGCTCCTTGTTAAATATTTCAGTATTGCTAGTGACCATGTGACGTATCACAAAGCAGGTAGTAATTTCAGCATTAAAAATTAACTGCTGCAGTAACAACTGTCTGTGTTTGGCTCTGTGGGCTATGAGACAATGTATTAAGTTACAGTTTTGTAACTCTAAACGAACTTCTACACTGTGAATTCTGGTTTTTATTCTAGATGTCTTTTAGGAACCCTTTTCTGGGTAAAGGGGAACACTAGTGTTCTTACAATGCTCCTAAAGCATGAATGAAAGCCTCATTTTTCAGGACTGCAAAACATGATCTTCCTCCTAGTGGAACATCTATATTTAAAGCAAGCCACTTCCTCATGCAGCTTTATACACTGACCCTTAAGATGCTGATTCTTGAAAACTCATTAGTATTTTCTTGATCGTGGGGTGGTTTTTTTTGGAAGTCTAACTCTGAAAGTATTTCTAAATATTCTAAATTTGAGGAAGCAGAAAGAGGAGAAGAGCAGAAGAAATAGAGGAATGTTGAGTAGACACAATTTGTTAATGTAATGTGATGGTGTTTCTTTTTTTTCTTTACATGCTCTGTGTTTTAGTGGTAAAACAGAGACCTTTTAGCAGAAACAGGATGTTTCTTAGAATCTTGATTGCTATTTGGTCATGATAAATGTTCAAAAGAAATTGTTTCCTCTGTGTGTTAAAAACAAGGAATTGTTTTTCCCCAGTGTCTTCACAGGGGCTTGG